GCCGTGGCTGAACAGCCGCCAAACCGACAACTCCCTTGCCGGTTGCCAGAAAAAACTGGAAGACTACCGTACTTACAGGTAAACAGCTCAATATTACAAACTATAAAGTGTCCCCTTCCATATAATCTTCTATAAAATGGCTGCTAAAGTATAATAATATCTAAATATTTGACTGCAAATTCTGAAATTAAATATTTATTTAAACAGGCGTAAGCACAAGCCACCACGTGTAGAACAAAAGGCCAAGCTGGAGACGAACTTTAACACCCTGCAAACCAAGCTCCGTCTGAGCAACCGCCCTGCGTACATGCCCACCGAAGGAAAGATGGTCTCTGTAAGTATGACCCCCCATTTTGTGTAATGATAGATAAGCTTATAACTGGACCACTAGTTGATAACATATGCCTGTCCTCTCACACTGAAGTTATAAACTCAAATACTAAAAACACAGCAGGTAAAAATTCAAAAAGAAGAAGACGGTGCAATTGGAACATAGTGGCTATATCATTTCAAAATAAATAATTTTCGTAATACTATTATATGACAAAATCTTATCGGTCAAGTTTATATTTCAAGGACATCGCCGGAGCTTGGAAGGGCCTGGAGATCGCCGAGAAGGCGTTCGAAGAATGGCTATTGAGTGAGATGATGCGCCTTGAGCGTCTTGACTACCTGGCCCAGAAGTTCAAGCACAAAGCCGACATCCACGAGGACTGGACCAGAGGTGCGTTCAAAAAGCATAGCCAAATGACGACATGAAAAGCTCAAATGTGTTTTAAACACAAAAATCAATAAATTTATATTAATTTTAAATCTATTGTTATTTAGGCAAAGAGGAGATGCTCCAGTCTCAGGACTTCCGCCAATGCAAGCTGAATGACATCAAGGCTCTAAAGAAGAAGCACGAGGCTTTCGAGTCAGACCTCGCTGCACACCAGGACCGCGTCGAGCAGATCGCTGCTATTGCCCAGGAACTCAAGTGAGAATCTTTAATTGTTTTTCTTCCCTGCTCAATTTTTTTATCTGCAAGAGTTTTTCAGTAATGGCACATTTTACGATGTGCCATAATGGCTATTTTGCAGTAACTTAGAACGTAGTTTCAGCTGTGCGTCGTTGCTATAAGAATCGGTTTTTTTTTTTGTATCTTGATCGAAATCATTATCCTGATGATAGTATAATATAAATCATTTATTGACATTATCCAGCACCCTGGAGTACCACGACGTGGCGAGTGTGAACGCTCGCTGCCAGCGTATCTGCTCGCAGTGGGACCGCCTGGGCGCGCTCACGCAGCGCCGCCGCCACGCGCTGGACGACGCGGAGCGCGTCTTGGAGCAGATCGACCTGCTGCACCTCGAGTTCGCCAAGCGCGCCGCACCCTTCAACAACTGGTATGTTTATTTATTTTTTGAGATATCCTTCACTTAAACACAGTATTCCCGTCTCCGTCCCTCTACGGCAGCCCTGTGTGGACGCCATATTTGACGCTGTAGTCAACTCGTGCGCTGGTTGCGGTTTCACTTGGTGGTTTTTAGTCACTTAGTCTTCCACTCCTCTTGCCCCACCCAGAAGCCATTTGTTGTTTAATGTTCCACAATCAAAAAGTAAAATCCCCATCCCGTCAAGCGTGGAATCTAATTAAAATGTGTGTGGAATCCAAGCCATTGCAGGAATACAATTTTATATTTGCCCGTTTATTTTTTAGTTCTGCATTGTGATTGTATTAGGATGTTTGAGTATGCAATGTGATTTACAATACTTGTGTACAGGCTGGACGGAACCCGGGAGGACCTTGTGGACATGTTCATCGTCCACACTATCGAAGAGATTTCCGGTCTCATGGATGCACACGCTCGCTTCAAGGCTACCCTCGGAGAAGCTGACAAGGAATACCAGGTAAGATTTTTATTGAATATAGTTCTTAAATGGCTACTTCTTCGTTCATTTTATATATAGATAGTTTTCTTTTTCCTTATCATAATATTTTTTACTTAAATTCCAGGCGATAGTCAACCTGGTGCACCAGGTTGAGTCCATCGTGAAACAACACCAGATCCCCGGAGGTTTGGAGAACCCCTACACCACTCTTACTGCTCACGTACGTATTCATATCTACTTCGTTTTCTATTTCAATATTTTTGGTAGAAAAGATATTGATCATTTAATTTTAAAACAACCAACTGAGGGATAAACTTAAATAAAAAACGTTTTTTCTATAGGAGCTGAACCGCAAGTGGTCTGACGTAAGGCAGCTAGTACCCCAGCGCGATGGTACGCTGGCCGCCGAGCTGCGCAAGCAACAGAACAACGAGACCCTCAGGCGCCAATTCGCCGAGAAGGCCAACGCCGTTGGACCTTGGATCGAAAGGCAAATGGATGCCGTCACCGCTATCGGAATGGGTCTACAGGTAATTTTCTATAACCTTAATTAGCTTTATTGAACAAGTTTGTATTCATTATAATATATTATTACTAACGTTCTTTATTCCATTTTTCCAGGGCTCTCTGGAAGACCAACTGCGACGTCTGAAGGAGTACGAGGCAGGCGTGTACGCTTACAAACCACATATCGAGGAATTGGAGCGCATCCACCAAGCCGTACAGGAAGGCATGATCTTCGAAAACAGGTAAGCAATAAAATAGTCACAAAACTTTAAGTTAGAAACCTACAGAAATTTATAAATTTTATCCAGAAAAATGTACTACGGACCAAAGTATTTGAGCGCGTATTTTTGTCACAGGTATTCGCAATACACAATGGAAACTCTGCGCGTAGGCTGGGAACAACTTCTGACTTCCATCAACCGCACTATCAACGAAGTCGAGAACCAGATCCTGACCCGCGACTCAAAGGGCATCACTCAAGAACAACTTACCGAATTCCGTGCTTCCTTCAACCACTTCGACAAAAACCGCACCGGTAAGTCACTGAACAAATGACATTACTGTACCTAATTATTTATGTTACAAGTGTCTTCAATACCTACTCATTAATTCTTTTTTTCTTTGATAGGCCGCCTAGCGCCCGAAGAATTCAAATCATGCTTGGTATCTCTGGGATACAGCATTGGCAAGGACAGGCAAGGAGAACTCGACTTCCAGCGCATTCTGGCTGTAGTCGACCCCAACAACACAGGTAATAAAAAAAAAACATTTATACACAAGACCAAAAACAGATCCTGATATCAACTAACTATACTTGAAAGCCATGAAGACATTAGTCATCGAATGATTATGCTGATAAAAAATAAAATGCTCCATTTACAGGCTACGTGTCGTTCGATGCGTTCTTGGACTTCATGACAAGGGAATCCACAGACACAGACACCGCTGAACAAGTTATTGACAGCTTTAGGATCTTAGCTGGCGACAAGGTAAGACTCGGGAACGATTCTCGTATCCAACCTTCTTACCTGTTTAGAATCGATGATTAATTCATTTGTATTGTTTTTACTAGCCCTACATCACGGCGGACGAGCTCAGGCGCGAGTTGCCTCCCGACCAGGCAGAATACTGCGTGGCGCGCATGCCACCATACCGCGGCCCTGGAGCCCCAGCCGGCGCTCTCGACTACATGGCATTCTCCACCGCATTATACGGCGAGACCGACCTTTAAGGTACCTACATTATTATTATCCCAAATTCGTAAGACATAAATGAATTTTAAAAAAATACAAGAATTTTCCTTCAATAAACTAATAAACTTTTTGAAAACACCTAGGCTTTCCAATTATTGAGTCTCGATGGTATTTGGCAAACCTCCAGATTGTCATTGGGCGGTTGCCTAACGCCCACCATGCTTACATGTTTTGTTGAATAGATGTATTTATAGAAACTGAAATATTTTTTACTCAGACACAGGTCGCAGCAGTGGTATCATAGGACATTGTCATCCACGTCATCACTCAAGGAGGGTAGCTAAGATGGCGCGCGCTCACCGCGCTCACTACTAACACACGGCCCGAGGCTCCAGCGGCGACGTAACGGCGCACAAAGATTATTTCCATTACATTGACCTATCTCTCAAAATCGCCCTAAACCAAGGTCAATGTAGAGCAAACAATTTTTGTGGAATAATTTAGTCTATAAAACAGTTCTATATTAAATATTATTATGTGCAATGTTCAAACCAAAAATGCCATTAACTTTCATACCATAAATCTCCTTCCTAATGTTTAGTAACCTTTTGGCTCAAATCAGAGAAATCATTTTATATGTTTACAACACTCTATTTATATTTACATTAGCATTAGGTATTTTTAACTTTTATAAGAAATTCTCAGGGAAGTCACAAAAAAATTATTTGTAAGATAAAAATGGTGCTAATGTTAGGCTTGACTAATGTGTGACACCAAAATAAGACTCATTTACATTGTGAGAATGTTTTTGTTATATTTTTTTTTATTTATAAGCAAACATTATTTATACAAGATCAATTTTTATTTACTGCCATTAGTAATTATAAATACTTTGATGGTAGGCACAGTATTGTACTAAGATTTCTAAATTTATAAATGTTGCAGGGAAGTGTCACACAAATTATTTATATCATAGATTGCCATAGCTTGCCTGCATCTATTTATTTATCATTTTTATATGATTATCGTTTGTGAGAGTATTGAAATGAGTACTCTAAATAAATGATCTGCCATAATTTTGTCTTTTAATAATGACTGTGTTGTTAATCCAACCAATTATATTACAATGAGACAACAGCGGTATGTAGAATAAGAATGACTTATGTGCCCAAAAGTATACTAACTCGAATGTACAGCTACTTTAATAAAGAGCTCTTAAACAAACTTTAATTTTATTTTGTTCTGTTACCTAATATTAAGTCTATCTATAATAAAACAGTTAAATCAAATGAGAAATTTGTATATTTCATACAAACAACTAGGACAGCTTGCTAGTAATAGATATATTCGAAGTAGATATTATATTATATTACATAATATATATTACAAACAAAATTGATAATTTTCATAACACCACTACATAGCCACATGAGTAATACATCAATAAATTATAATAACCTATGCATATCTATTAAAGTATTTAAACCTAATATTCAGTTATTTCAATTCCTCCTTTTTAGACTCTTCAGCAGTAAGGAGTGCACTCTTAATGCCAACTTTCTTGAGTTCCTCAATAAGCTCACCTGATTGGTGCATTTGCAGCATTATATCACAACCCCCAACAAATTCACCATTGATAAAGACTTGTGGGATTGTTGGCCAGTTAGAATAGTCTTTGATACCTGAAATAAACACCAAATTTGTCAGAATTAATTGCAAACATCTCACATGAAATGAACGTTAAAGATATTTTTCTCATAGCTAATGGATAAAATAAAGAAAAAAAGAAAATTTATTTAGAGTATGCACAACTGTAAATTCAGCTGAATCATGCTCAATCATTAATAAATTAATATTTATACAAACCTTAAAATTTGTTTGATTTGAAACTTATTTTGACCTCTGTGATATAATAGTCTTATCATAACTGTTATTTAAACTATGATAACAGAATTAAGAAAAAAAATAATGGTTACAAACTAACCTTGTCTTAGGTCTTCATCCGATAAAACATCGTGACTATCGTAGGGAACTGCGTGCATCCTCATGATCTGAACTACCGCATTGCTGAACCCACATCTTGGAGCGTCTGGCACACCTTTCATGAATACTACCACTTTATTATTTTTAACTATAGTGTCGATTTTGTCTTTTATAGGAACATCAGCAAATGAACGACATGATAACTTCAGCGAGTTAGCGTAAATTGGAAAAATGCTTCTACGTAATAAGCTATTCATTATTATAGATTTATAATACGCAATAGGTTTATAAGTAATAGGCAGAAAATTAATTCAGAACTCTTTTGTTTTAAACTTCCTTTTGAAATTCTTTGGAGATATTACGTCAATGTCAAGTTGACAATTTTATCATTCACGTCAACATCATGGTCTGAATATAAAATAAAATTGCAAATAATTTGTCTATGATTGTCAAATATAGGTACCGACGCGACGCTTTCATTTCCAATTCCAATAGAAATATTCTTATTTACATGTGCTGTACTTTAGAAAAATAATTTTGTAATGGTATGAATATAAAAATAATCCTTCGCTTTTGATTTTATAGCCTGTGGTCGTTATCGTTTGTGAAGCAATAAAAAAAAAGTTTCGTATTTATGGTTATGACCAGTTTGTTGTGTGATATTATTAATTTGTCTCGTTTTATTCAATAATTATTAGATACTAATTAATATAATGGAGAACGCCGAAGAAATATTTCACTTTCTTGAAGACTTCTCCAAACGCAAGCCTAAAACGATTCCACAAGAGCTTAATGAATACTTGGCATACGTAGCTCGAACCGGTGATCCAGTCTACCAGTGGTCACTTGTGAAAAGTTTATTCAAAGAAAAGTTGCTCTCAGTTATCACTGATTTTTACGAGACAACTCCAGGTATTGACATTCCACCTTATCCAAATGTGGATCCATTTAATTATGACATTATGAAGAATAGCCTATTAGAACGCCTAGATTCATTCACCTCAGCACCTTTTACAGTACAAAGAATTTGTGAATTACTTACGTTTCCGCGAAAACAATACAATCGGGTTGACAAGTTTATGAGAGCAATAGAAAAAAACATTTTAGTGGTGAGTACCAGAGAGCCTGGCATACAACGTCATGCTGAACCAGAAAATGGAGAACCAGTTGAACCTATCGTAAACGGCTCAGACAATAATTCTGAGTACAATGTAGATGTTGAGATGGAAGATATGTCATGGAAAGAAAATGCCGAACAGCCACAAAGCTCAGAACCTCAACCAGGGTCATCTGATGCTCAAATATCTGTAGATGATATTGAAGCTCGATTAAAAGCCAAACAAGAGACTCCGATGGATACTCAAGATAAAATCACCACACAATATGAGTCTGTAACACCTCCTGAACTTAATATCACTGCAGATGAAGCAACTGAGGAGACTAAACCATGTGCCGAAACAGCACCACCTTCTACAGTATCTACCGAGGAATCCAAAATGGAAACAACTACCTCAGAAAGTGCAAGTGAGGAAGCAAAAGTTGATGTCGAAATGAAGCCAGAGAATGCAGCACCAGCTTTAGTTATTCCAGAAATCAAAGTTGATGATGCTGAAATGACAGAACAAAGACTTACAGAGCAAACATCACCAGAAAAAGTGGTGAGCACTGAGCCAAGTGACAAGGAAGCTTCGGCTTCAGAAACAAAGCCTGTGGCGGATCCACAGCCTGTAAGCATTGATGAAAATAGCTCAGATTCCACAACAAAAGAAGATAGTGAACCTAAGTTAATATCTGAAGTTTCCACATCTAGTGAGGAAAGTTCATCGTCAAGTGACAACACTGATGGAAATAGTAATTCACCCAAGGCAAATGAGAGGCACATCGATGTTCAAGAAGAATCCAACCAATCAGATACTCCTTCAGACACAGCATCAGAAGAAAGTAATGCAAAGGAAAATGAACCAACTCCTGAAACTACGCCAGAAAGACCTGCAGAAGAATCCTCTCCCAAAGTTGAAATGCAGTCGGATAACTATTCAATATCAGATGTTAACTCTGAGCTACCTCAACCACCACAGGAAAATCCTAAGTCTCCAGAGGTACCTGAGGAGAAAAAAGAACCAGAAAAAATTGAAGAAGTTAAGTCTGAAAGTACTGAAACAGAACAAAACAAAGAATCATAACTTACATGACTACCTACATAATTTCACATACTTTTTTATTCTGTGACTGTTAGATATTAAGTAGAAAATAAACAAATTATCCTTAGGCACTATGAACAATTTCATGTGTTTAGATCTTAAATTCTATTAGTGTATTTTAGATTTTTTCTCTGCTACCCGTTCCTGCTTGTAATTTTTAAGTATTTTACAAAGTTTTGTTACAGTAGTATTTTGTAATTAAAACTTATGATGAAGTGCTCTATGGTAATTTGTCTGATTAAATAATAGAAATAAAACGAATGATTGTAACTTAGTATTATTTTGTACCAATAATATAATATGTGAAGAATAAATAATAACAAAATTGCTCTGTTGTCTTTTTTCACTTTGATTTATTCAACTACATGATGAACCAATGGTTTTCCATGCATTACGACTAGCAGGGCCGAGATGTTGAACTATAAAAATAAATGAGTCAAAAACCAATTTTCATTAAAATCAGAAGAATCAGTTTTTAGTCCACTCCAGGGAAAGTCGGGTTAAGTCGGCAACTCTACCGGAGAGATACCACGGCCTCACAGAAAACTGACGTGAAACAATTACTTGCAGCGTTGTGTTGGGCCGTGTTAGTGATGTTACCGGAGGCCCAATCCTTGATCCCCTCCCCCAATCCCTAAATCGCCGAAACTCATCTGCCAAACGGCCGGCACTCCTTTCGTATTGCGGGTGTCCATGGGCGACTTCGATTGCTTACCATCAGGTCAGTTCAGTTGCCGTCCTATTACTTGGTAAGTACATAAAAAAACCATGTCGATCAATTACCAAATATATTTTCATATAAAACGATGAAAGTCGAATATTTTGGTTACTTCTTCGGCTAAAACTTATATTAGATTTGGAATACCTACTTGAAAATTAATGAGACTGTTTATCGATTATTAAGTATTATTATTTATCGGCTATCCCTGCGAAGTTTCTGCACCGCTGCTTGTCCGCTACTGGGCCTAGCGTGATGTTTAATAGGTAACTACCTAAAAGCCTATGTCAATAAACTGCCTATCTTACACAGTACCTAAAATCCGAGATTATTATCTATATAATAAATGCGAAAATAGGTAACTCTGTCTGTCTGTCTTTTCTTCACGCCTCAACTGCTGTATCGATTTCTGTGAAATTTAGTACAGACATAGTTTGGAACTCGAGAAAGGACAGGATACATTTTATACTTACCAAAAATCTGCAGGGCAGGAAGTCATTATTCCACGCGAACGGAGTCGCGGGCAAAAGCTAGCTATTTTAATAAAAGTACTTCAGAAACCATGCCATTTTGCACTTAGCTACTGCAGGGAAAGCGGGCAGAAGCATTAGCACTAAAAGTGGAAATAATAAAAAAGTGAACAATTTCGTAACGTCACGTTCCGTATTTGTTTTTCATTAAAATTAAATCTAAAAAGTAGAAATAAAAATCAATCTTAAAAAATAACGATTTATTATTGAAGTTCTATTTACATAAGTACATATAGGTACCTACATACAGTAGGTGTTTGGAATAAAACTTAAATTAACTAAATAACAAATATTCAACAAATCAGTCCTATGAATCTACATAATAGTATACGATGGCTTATCGACTAATTTAAAAATACTAGGTACAATACTCGAGTTTGTCTAGTCTAGTTTACTTGCGTTTCATACCAAGAACTTTGAGTTCATTCCTCATGATTTTGCCGGCAGCGTTCCTTGGGATTGATTCTAAAAATACAACGCCTCCGTCAAGGTGCTTATATCTAGTTAGTTTCTTAGCTACTAAGTCAGTGATATCTTTTTCTGTGAGTTTTTGTTTGGGCTTGAGCACGACGAACGCTTTGGGCACTTCACCCGCAAGCGGGTCCGGGACGCCGACAACAGCGACATCTGCTACCGCTGGAAGCTCCATGATAATATTTTCTAATTCTGTTGGCGATACCTGTGGATAGAAAAAGTATGAAGTTATAGTCTTAAAAATATTTTGTGATATGTCAAATACAAGCAGGGAAAGATTTTCAGATTTCTATTTTATACTACCTACCTATTTGATTTTTTATATCAAATTAATGGAGAAAAACATAATTTTGTTAAACCTGTCACGGTACCTAGGTAAACAAAACAAAAAACAGTCAAAACATTATAACTTACAATGTTCAATGTTGACCTACATAAATGTCTGGTCAACAAGGTTCAAAGTCCCCTACATTTTGCAAGGCGATATATTTAGTAGCGCACAGATGCACACGTACCTGATTGCCCTTAACCTTAATGAGTTCTTTGGTGCGGTCAACTATGTAGAAATAGAAATCATCGTCGTAGTACGCCACGTCGCCCGTGTGTAGCCAGCCGTCACTGTCTACCGTCTCTTTAGTCGCTGCCTCGTTGTTCCAATATCCTTTCATAACCTGAGAAATGATTTTGTCATTTTAGATAAGGTTAAAATATCTCACTTACTTATGTTTTATGGGACTATGAGCAAGTCTTATCATTTCTGGTAGTAAATATCTAACTACAATTATTTATGCTGTGCTTTAAAAATTGTCGAAGCAAGACTTTTTCAATAAAGAACGATATGAAACAAAAATTGTTTCAGTCAACAGGCCATATTCAGTAAACATATTCAGTTTCAGTAAACATATATAGGTACGTAAAGGTGAAATAGAAAATGTCCTTTTTAAAATCGTTTAAAAGTGATTTTGTCGCATAGAACGAATGAGGTGCGATAAAAAATAAGTCGTATTACGATGACCCAAAGAAATTCGCACTATTTAATAACGCACCATCGCGATAAAGGCAAAACATTAAAGAGAAGATATCAGTTACTTTTACAATACTCACTTGAGGTCCTCTCAACCACAGTTCGCCAGATTTGTGTGGCCCCAGCATTTCTCCCGTAGTGAGGGAGACCACGCGAGCCTGTGTGCTCGGCACCAGTTGTCCTACTGATCCTACTTTACTGTACGGGTACGAGTAGGGAGTCATCAGCGTAACAGGAGAACTTTCTGTCATACCGTAACCTGAAAATTATAGATAAAAGTTTTCAAAATAGTACTTACTTACAAAAAAATAACAATTTTTAGTGACCCGAAATGAATTGATTTCACCCCCCCCCCCCTCCTTACCCCCAAAGGGGTATCGGGGAGGGTCACATACCAACATTTTTCGCCAATTATTTTATGGGCACTATTGTATATTGTATTTCTTATTCTACAGTTATGGCAAATCCTTTCTAAGGAGAGTTAGCCTATTGCCACATTACAGTAAGAATTTTCGCATACACCGAAAAAAATATACTTATTTTAAAATTTTTACTAATATTACCTGACCTTTAAACTGATAGCAAATATCTTACCTTGCAACAATTTAATCTGGTCCTTAGTTTTCTCGCACTTGAGTAAGAACTTCTCCAACATACTGTCAGTTGTCGGTGCAGCGCCAACCATAATAGTTTCCACCCACTGCAAGTGTTCCTTCTTCACCGACGGATGAGTCGCTAAGAATGCCAAGAGGGAAGGCACCACGAACAACGTTGTGGGCTGATATTCTACCAGACACTTGATGTAGTCCTCGGGGGTAAACCTGAAGATGTAAGGAAATAAATGTTTTGAAACTAATTCATTGAGCAAATCTTCTCCGTGTGAGAAGAGGCTCAGGAGTGAGTGCCCTCATAGGCTGATGATGATGATGAAACTAATTTACAACCTGTCTAAAGCAGAAGAGAATCAAATTAGATTCTTTTATTTATTAAAATTAAAAACAAAAAACGAGACATTTCTATTAATTTTAAATGAGAATCGCAATCGATGACGTCATAAAGTTTTTTCGTATAAAAACAAACTTTATTAAAGTTTGTATTGTACCTAATCAAATATTTAATTAAATAACTCAATACCTATTCAAAAGCCAAAGCAATTTATGCTCTGACTTTTGAATAGGTATTGAGTTGTTTTTGTTTTTGACCTAATACACTACCCAATTGACTTCAAACAAATAAATAAAAAAACGCCCGTTAATAAATAATTGGTACCTACCTACCTAATTTTAACAGTAAAATGTTTTTTATTTTTGTAAATTATTCCAATTTCAAAAAACTTCACATAAGTACCTACTTCCTAAGGTTCCAAATACTCTAGTATGCCTTCCTATCTAATCAAATAAAATAAAGGTGGCATTCAAGCATATTATTTATTTACTAAAACACCCGAATAGATCAATTTTATCTAGAAAGCACTTTGTTATTTACGTCATTATTAACCACGAAAACAAATTATGTATCGAACCTATGAATAATGAAATGACAGAGCGATTTTTTGCTGTGTTAAACTGCAACAGATTCCACTCACCTTGGCATTGTAACAACGTGGTAGCCGAGTTTCAGATTGTAATTGAGGATTCCGTTGAAGCCGTAAATGTGAAAGAATGGCGGCACTGTTAGTAGAACGTCGCCTTTACCTGGAATAAAATTTTGTAAGTCAATATTTTATAGTAAAACCTACTAATATTTACCACAGAAGTGTGGGAGAGCCATGCTTCGGCACGAATGGGTCGGCTTGACCGGAGTGATACCACGGCCTCACAGAAGACCGGCGTGAAACCACCAGTGTTGTGTTTCGCCGTGTGAGTGAGGTTACCGGAGGCCCAATCCTTCCCCGCCCCCAATCCCTCCTCAATCCCTAAATCTCCAAATCCCTAATCCCTAAAGGTCGGCAACGCGCTCGTAACTCGGTGTCCATGGGCGGCGCTGATTGCTTACCATCAGGTAATCCGTCTGCTCGTTTGCCGACCAATTACATTAAAAAAAAAAAAAAAAAAAACAGATAGTAGACGTTTAAAAACAGAAATATCCAATTAATATGTATATGAAACAAAAACAATTAATGTATTTTTGCAAATAGGCCATAAAAATTTCCGAATTGACTATTGAATAAACGTAATCTTATACAAAAAGTAGGTAGGTAGGTAGAAAAAGTAGACGGATATGTCTAAACTTTGCACTTATACACTATAGGTACCTATTTTATTGACTAGTTAGTAGGCAGGTACCTACTTAGAACTTAGTATTAGCTAATTACTAAGTGGGTTTTCGCAGAAACATAATCTCGATATCTCTATTTGACTTTGCCATGATAACGTTTTGATTCACTGGTAAATTCAGCGTATTGTATTTGATCAACGCATTGTTGTACCTACTGCAATTATTAGACTTACTCAACCAGAGACCTTTATTTAACATTGACCATTGCCCCATAGATTATAAAGATCTAACGATATGAATATTTTTTATC